GTCCCCCCCGTCCGCCGGTGTCGCCGTCCTTCCCGGTGTCACCCGCGGCCGCCCCCTCTTCCCTCCCTACCCCTTCCCCCCCCTCCCCCCCGGACCCGAGAAAGAAAGAGAGGCTATGTGCGCCTCCCTGGCCATCTTCCACGATGACGACGAGGACATCACCGAGAATGCCTTCCTCCAAAGTGTCCAGGCCCGGTCGGACATCATGGCCATCATCTCCATGACCGCCCAGCAGAATGCCCTCGCCCAGGTCCCGCCGGCCGAGGGGCTCGGCGCCTCGTGCTCCGGGTCGCCGGCCGTCCTGGCCACGGCCGCCCTGGACCCCGGGTCCTGCAGCCCCGGGTCGCCGGCTGCGGCGGCCGCAGCGGCCGGCGACACCCCCATGCGCCTCGAGGGGACCTTCTTCATTGCCGTGCCCTCGACCGCCTCGCTGAATGCCGCGGGCTTGGTTGGTCCCTTTGCCGACTCGTTCCTCGGTGCGTCCAGCCCCCCCCCCCGGCCCCCGGCCGACGTATGTCCTGCTTCCCCACGCACCCCCCCCCGTTCCCGGGGGGGCGGGGGAGCCGCCGCGTCTCGCTCACCTGCCCTCCTCTCCGCGCGCCCAGCGTCGCACCTCATGCGCGCCATCAGCCAGCCGGGCGCCCCCGCCGGCACGCCCCAGCGCTACCGGACCCTCAACGGCCGGGTCGTCTCCCTGTCCGAGGATGGCAGCCACTTCGAGCTGTCCCCGGGTGCGCTTCTCGCCGGATGCCCGCGCGCCCCGCCCTTCGCCTCTGCCCGGGGTCTGACCCGTGATCCCCCCCCGCCCCCCCGCCCCCCCGCCCCCTCGTTTGCCTGCCCGTCGCCCGGCGCAGAGCACGGCTTTTCCAGCGACCGCCGCGTGCGCATCCTCTTCGACGAGTCCTTCTACGGGTCGCTCGACATCGATCCCGACATGCTGGCCCTCCTGCCGGCCGGAGTGGACCCGGAGAATGCCCTCCTCTACCAGGCGGTCTGCGTGGCGGATGTCTTTGACACCTGCCAGTCGAGCCTGCTCCTGGGGGACCAGCGCCCCGGGGCCGAGCCCTTCCCGCTGAACCCCCCCGAGGCGGTGGACTTCCTCCGGCTGCCAGGCCACCCGGGGTCGATGGCCGACGGCCACGGGCAGCCGGGGCTCGGGGTCGACCCGCCGGCCCTCGACGGCCCGGATCTCAGTCGCACGCCGAGCTTCACGCACATCTCCCCCGGCCCGCGGCTCACCGAGTCGTCCTTCGACTTCCCGGCGTCCTCCAGCTCGTCGTCCTCGTCGCCGGCGCTGGTCACCGGCCCCGGGCCCGGGGGGGGCGCCGGCGGCGGGCCGGGTGCCGGGCCGGCCGGCGCCCTGCCGGAGCCCCCGACGACCCGGGACCCGGCCGGGCCCAGCCCGCTGGCCCTGTCCATGCTGCCGGCCACCGGGGGCAATGTGGCCGAGGGCCTCGCGGCCGCGCGCACCATGGCCAGGGGGGCGCCGGCCGCCGGGGATGCCTGGATCGAGGTGGGGGCCCCGCCGCCCGGGCCGGACATCGGCCGGCTGTCCCTCCGCCGGTCGGACTCGCTGTCGGTCCGGCCCCGGGCCACGGGCCGGCTGTCGGTCACCTCCGGGCCGGCCCCGGGGTTCGGCATCCGCCGGTCATCCTCCGTGTCGGGGCGGCTGTACACGGCCCCGGGGCCGGGGGATCCGGCCGACGCGCCGGAGAGCGAGCTCCCGGCCGTGGCCGGCTTCCCCTTCGGCAGCCGGCTGGTGTACATCCCCCCGCGCAAGTCCTACCCGGATTGCCGGCAATTCCTCATGGGCACCTCCGACAACACCGAGGCCCTGGAACTCATCAGCGCCCTTCTCATTGAGTTCCACCACCTTTTCGAGAATGTGATTGCCTCGATCACCGGCGGCCGGTCCGACTCGGACTTGGTTTTCCACTTTCTCTCCTCGATGTCCAGCTCGGAGGACGGCCCGGCCGCCGGGATGGGGGCCAATGCCGGGGCCGGTGGCCGGCGTGGCTCCGGCCAGGCCGACGGCCCCGGGTCCCCCGGGGGACCCGGGGCCTCTCTCGGCGGGGCCCCGGTCGCCGGGTCCAGCCGCACGGCCCACGGGTCGCCGGCTTCTTCCGGGCACGCCCGGTCCGGCAGTTCCTCCAGCCGGCTGTCCTCCTTCCTGAGCCGGTTTTCCTCGCCCACCGGCAGCATGTCCCCCACGCCGGCCGGCAGCCCGGTGGTCGGGGCCGGGGCCGGGGCCGGGGCCGGGGCCGGCCGGCCACCGCGGGCCATGTCCAGCCCCGGGTCCGGCCGGCCCAGCCTGCGCGTGGCCACGACCCCCTCTCCCGGGCCGGGGCGCAGCTCCAGCGCCGATGCCACCTCACCGGTGGCCGCCGTCACTGCCGCCGCCGCCGCCGCCGCCGCCGCCGCCGCCCCCCCCCTGTCGCCGGCGGTCGGGGTCATTCGGTCCCCCTTCGGCGGCGGGGGGCACTTCCAGCCGGCGGCCGAGCCGCAGCGCCCCGGGCCCGGGCACCAGCGCTCCGGCTCGGCGCACCGGATCCCCGGCACCCCGGTGAGCATTGCCTCGCGGCCGGTGCTGGCCCCGGCCCTCGGGACCGAGGCCCTGCACTCGACCAGCCCGCCGGTGGTGGTGGACCTCCTGGAGCAGGACCCGGTGCCGGTGTGGCAGCCGCACGGGCCCCCGATGCCGAAGCCGCCGGCGGCCATCGACGACTTCGACCTCATCCCGCAGGAGCTCTGCGGCCAGCTGGCCCAGAGCGTCCACGCGGCCATGGTCTATCTCGAGTGCACGAATCCCCTCTTCGCCGAGATGGCCTCCTTCCTGCCGGGGGCGCTGCTCCGGCCGGGGGGGCCGGGCGGGGCCCGGCCGGCCGCCGCCGAGGCCGCCGCGCTGAATGCCCCCGGGGCTTTGGCCGCCGGCGGCGGCCGGCTGGCGCCCCTGCTGACCGGCGACCTGGCCCTCGATGACCCGGTCCCGGTGGCCTTCGTCGCGCGGCAGATGGTCCGCAACTGGACGCGGCTGCTGCACATGGTGGAGACCTACATCCTCGGGCAGACGCACACGCTGGTCTTCCTGTCGCTGACCATTCGCCTGGACTCGCAGGAGGCCTACCTGGTCCGGTGCTTCCAGCGGCTGCAGGCCCTGCCATTGGCCTTCTTCCTCCGGCCGGATCTGGGTCCCGGGTCGGCGGCCGCGCAGGCGGCCGGCCCCCCGGCCGAGGTGTCCGCCTGTCGGCCCATGTCCCGCGAGGAGCGCCTCCTGCACTCGGTGGCCACCGACATCCTGGGCAAGCTGGACAACTTCAAGTCCCCGAGCGACAAGATGTTTGTCATCCAGACCACCTTCGAGGCGATCCTCAAGTGTTTCAATGGTGCGCTCGTGCGGCTCGGTGTCTTTTTGTTGCCTGTGGGTGTTTCCTGTGTGTGTGTGTGTGTGCGTGCATGTGTGTGTGTGTGTGTGTGTGTGTGTGTGTGTGTGTGTGTGTGGACATCTCCTGTGTCTGTGGATGTCCTTCGTGTCCGTGGATGTCTTCTGTGTCCGTGGATGTCTTCTGTGTCCGTGGATATCTTTTGTGTCCGTGGATGTCCTTTGGGTCTGTGGATGTCCTTCGTGTCTGTGGATGTCCTTCGTGTCTGTGGATGGGTCTCGTGCATCTCCCTCGACCTCTCGTGCATCTTCCTCAACCCGTCCGCCTTGTTCTGATCTCCCTGCCTCGTCCCTCCCCCCTCGGTCCTCACCCCACACAACCATGCCCAACGCCAACTGCTCGCCCCCGTCCCCCCCCCGTCCCCCCCCCCACCCCTGCCCAGCCGTTCACCCCGGCCTGCCGATGGGAGCCGACGACCTGGTCCCCCGAATGGCCTACGTGCTCATCCACAGCGGCCTGACCCACGTGTACGCGGACTTGACCTTCATCGGCCAGCTGAATCGCATCGCCACACGCTTCGCCTCGGCCGTGGACCTGGTGTCCGATGGCCAGGTCCAGGCCCGGGCGCGCGAGCTCCTCCTCGGCCACAAGGTGGCCCAGCTGTTCGGACCCGGGCCGGAGGCCTTCGCCCAGGGCCCGGCCCTCGGGCCCGGGTCCCCCAGCCCGGGCGCCCACACCGGCGGCACGGCCCGGCGCTCGGCCAGCCAGTGGTCCATCAGCTCGATGGCCGGGTCGGCCGGCAGCCCGGCCGCCTTCCGCCGGTCGGTGTCCATCGAGCAGGGGGTCGGGGCGGCCGGTGGGCCTGCTGCCGGGGCTGGCGCCGGGGCCGATGGCCTTGCGCCGGGCTCGGGCTCGGGCCCGGCCCCGCCGCCGGCCTTCGGGGCCAATCTCCGGGACCGGGTGCACGCCCTGCGCGCCGAGGCCGCCACCCAGCTGGCCGAGGAGGACTACATGCTGAGCACCCTGCGCGTGGTGGTGAGCCTGGTGGAGTCGCTGGCGCAGCAGCCCTGCCTGCCGGGGCTGACGCACCAGTGCCCCTGTCGGATGGAGCATCCGACCACACGCATGGGCCTGCCGGCCGATGGCGGGCCTGCCCTGGGCAGCTCCGCCCCCGGGCCGGGCTCCTCTTCACATGCGGCCCACCGGCCGACCGAGGTGGCGGACCTCCACCTGATCGGGCAATTTGCCGGGTACTTTTCGTCGGACTCGCTGCCGGCCAGCGGCCCGGGGTCCGGGGAGTCGTCGCCCCCGCGGGCCGGGGCGCCGGGCCCGCACCCGCCGCCGGCCGCCGGGCCGGGCGCCTCCTCCTCGTCGCTGGGGTCCGGGTCCGGCGGGTCGCGCGGCCTGGGCGCCGGGGCCCCGGGGTCCGCCTCCTCGGCGGCCGCCGACACCGATCTCCTCTTCCAGTCCTTCCTCGGGGCGGTGGCCCGGAATGACCTGGCCGCCGTGGGGCGCCTGCTGCTGGACCCGCCGGCGCACCGGCTGCCGGCGGCCAAGCCCCCGGCGGGTGGCTGCTCGCCGGAGGCCCTGCCCGGTGCCGCCTCGCCGGAGGCCGTCCTGGTGGATTCCTGGCCGACGTCCGACTTCTCGGACATCTCCTCGGCCGATGGGTCGCCCCTCGGCGGGGAGGGGCTCTTCACGGAGCTGCTGGAGGAGGGCGACGAGTCGGACGAGGCGGCCGGCCCGGCCGGCCCGCCGGCCGAGCGCCTGGCCGTCCCCCTGTCCCGCCATGCGCCGATGCTGGTCAACCTCTTCGACGAGCGTGGCTACACCTCCCTGCAGCATGCCGCCTCGCGCGGCCACCGGGACATGGTGGAACTGCTGCTGTACTGCGGGTGCGCCTCCCCCCCCATGCGGGGCTGGCTTCCCCCTTGCCTCTCCTGCCTTTCCCCCTGCCCTGTCTCACCCCGCTCCTCTTGCTGGGCTTCTTGCTCGGTCGCCCTGTGCCGCCGGCGATCGTGCCCGGCCCTCCGCCCCCCGCCCCGCGCCCCGCGCCCCCCCCCTCTCTCTCTCCCCCGCCTCCTCCTCCTCCTCGTGGGGGTTCCACCGGCTCGACAGCGCCGCCATCAACTACCCCACCCTGCAGGGCATGACGCCATTGCACTTCGCCGCGCAGTATGGCCAATTGCCGGTGGTGTGTGCGCTCCTGCGCCGGGCGGCGCACGTGCGCCCAGCCACGCCGCAGCCCCTCGGCCCGGGGAAGCAACTCCACTGGGGCCCGCTGCCCGGGTCACTGGCGCAGGAGGTCCGCGCCGCCTTCGGCCTGCCCGGGCCCGGCCCGGGGGGGGCCCCCTCGCGCGGGCAGGCGGAGCTGTGGGTCGAGGCGCCGGCCGGGACGGCCATCGCCCCCGGGCCCGAGCCGGCCGGGTGCACGGTCATTCGGCCGGCCTCGGCCGTGCTGAATGTGGACGCGCGCGATGCCAGCGGCGCATCGGCCCTGCACCTGGCCGCGTCCAATGGCCATCCGGCCATCATCCGGGCCCTGTATGCGGCCCTGCTGCATGGGGTGGCCCTGGCCGAGGGGGACCCGGCCCTGGCGGCGGCCGGCGACCTGGCCGGCCGGCTGTCTCAGCACCCGTCCACCGACCGGGCGGTCATCCGGGCGGCCATGCAGGCGGCCATGTGCTGCGGCGTGCCGGCCGAGCTGCACCCCGGCTATGACGCCTGCACCCCGAGCCCTGGTGACTGTGCGGCCGTGCCGCGCAACCTCCGCGGCGACACACCCCTGCACATGGCCGTCCGGTGGTCCTCGCCGCTGACCGTGGCCGAGGTCCTGCGGCCCTTCAATTGCATGTCCCGCTGCGCCGTGGAGCTGGGCATTGCTCAGGCCCCGGGCCCGGCCGGGCTGGCCGGCCCGGGGGCCGCCCCGCAGCTGGGCTTCGGCGGTGTGCTGGCCGCCACCCGCGGCACTCTCGACACCCCGATGCACATCGCCCCGGACTTCCCGGTGGCGTTGGTGCTGCTGGTGGGCGGCGCGTCGACCCTGTGCGTCCCTTTCCCCCGTGCTCCTCGCCCTTTCTTTTTTTTCCCCCGTCTGCCGGTTTTCCGTCTGCTCTGGCGATGTCGGTTTGCCGGTCTCGGTCTGCCGATCTCAGTCCGCCGATTTTTATCGGCCCATTCCCCCCTGCTCATCTCCCTCTGCCCATTCCCCTCTACCCATTCCCCTCTGCTCATCCATCTCTTCTCACCTCCCTCTGCTCATCCATCTCTTCTTACCTCCCTCTTCTCTCCCCCCTCTCCTCTCCCCCCTCTCCTCGCCCCCCTCTCCTCTCCCCCCTCTCCTCGCCTCCCTCTCCTCGCCTCCCGCTGCACCCTTTTCCCATCGCACACGCATGGACACCCTCCGCTCCGCCCTGCCCGCCGCGACAAAGCTCCAAAAACCGCATCGGCTACACGCCGCTCCACTCGGCGGCCCGGGCCGCCCGGCATGGCGTCGTCGAGCTCCTCGGCAGCCCAGCCCGCATTGTCACCTTTGTCGAGGGCCTGTCCGTGTCCCTAGGGGACATCGGGCGCCCGGTGCGCCTGGCCGCCGCCCGAGCCGATGTCCCCCTGGAGCAGCTGGTCGACCTGAGCCAAGCGCCGAAGCTTCTCCGGCCGCCCACCCGCGCCGAGGACATCTCCTCCCTGCCGGTGCCCCCCTGCCAGGCGGGCTGCCTGCTGACGCCGCTGACGCTGCAGCTGCTCCACGAGCCGGACTTCTCCGGCATGACGGCCCTGCACCTGGGGGTCCTCAAGAAGGAGCCGGCCATGGTGAGCTTCCTGCTGACGGTCGACCGGACGCTGATCGCCCAGTCCGGGACCGATGTGCCGCCGCTGCACTCGCGTCGGACCTTCCAGGAGGAGGACACCCCGTTGCACCTGGCCGCGGCCCTGTCCTCTCTCCAGCTTGTGGAGATCCTGGTGCGCCGCCCCCCTCCCCCCCCCTTCCCTCCTTTGTTTGTTTGTTTCCCCTTCTCCCTTTTGCCATGCCCCTGCCGCTGGCGGGAGCACTGCCGGCACCATTCCCGGCGTCTCGGCCCCCTTGCTTCTTCTTTTTTTCCCCCCCCTCCCTCCCTTCTTCTCCCCGTGCCCCGTCACCCGGTTGCCTGACCCGGCCTTCGTCGCCCTCGTCCCAGCTCCGCGCCGAGGCCAGCCCGCGGATCTACAACCGCCAGCGCCTTCTGCCCATGGACATGTCCCGGTCGACGGACCTGCAGAATCGCCTCTCGGTGCCGCGGACCTTCTAGACACCGCACGCGTCGAGCCCCCCTGTTCACCAACACACGCGCACATCCTTGAGCACATCCTTGAGCACGTCCCTGAGCACACGCGTGCGCCTACATACACACATGCGTAAGTCCATGGGGCCGCGGCAGCAGGGAGGGCGGGGGGGGGGGGGGGGCACTCATGTGTGGAGGGTTTTTTCTTCTATTCGGCCCAGGCCAGGGGGCAAGATCAGGCAGGCTTGGCGAGCGTGTGCTACTTGAGCGCGGGTGCGGGCGTCGAGGCCGGCGCCGACGCGGCGCCCGGCACCTCGGCTAATGGCTCATTTTTCAGCTGGCTCACCACCCAGTCCAGCCCCTCGGTGGTCCCTTCGCCGGAGATGGCGCTGCAGGGCTACAGGGCGCGGGTGATTGTCGCCGAGGCACAGGGGGAGTTCAACAGGCAGCACAAAGGCCGGTCAGTCCGGGGGCATGGGCCGGCACGAGGGTGATGCAAAAGACAGGCGAGCAGCTCGCAAAGGCGCACGCACCGCAATGTGCCAGGGGGTGGTGACGTCGAGCTCCGGCAGCCCCAGGGCGTCGGAGATCTCGGCCGTCGTCAGAGCCTCGTCCAGGTCCTGCTTGTTGGCCAGCACCAGCAGCGGGATCCGGGCAAGGTGCTGGACTCGGCGTGGCGCGCACGGGGGAGGCCGGATGTCAGCGGCCCTCGGCGGGCGAGCGGGACGCGAAAAAAGAGAGAGAGAGAGAGAGAGAGAGAGAGAGAGATGGAAGGACGATCAAGGAGGGTGGAATGCCTCGCCTCCCCCCCGGCCCGGCAGGTGCCGGCATCGCCGGAGCCCATGTCGGCCGCGACGCACCTCATGCGAAAGCATCCTGTGGAGCTCCCGCCGGACGATCGGGAACCGCGCGACATCGGTGCTGTCTACCACCATGATGACGGCCTGCAGGGGGGGGGGGGGGGAGAGAGAGAGAGAGAGAGAGGCGCAGGCGGCCGGACGGGCGAAGGGGGAGTAAGCAACGGCGCCGTGCGGCCGGCAAGCGGGTGTGTGCGTGTGTGCGTGTGTGCGTGTGTGCGTGTGTGTGTGTGTGTGTGTCAGCCGCCAAGACCGGCCGGCCGGGAGCCGAGGCCGGCGCGGGCCCCGCCCGATCGGACCTTCGAGTTGATGTAGTACGTGGACCAGGAGCTCCGGAGGTTGTCCTGGCCGCCGATGTCCCACATGAGAAACTTGATGTTTTTGTAGTTAAACTCCTCGACATTCGAGCCGATGGTCGGTGTCGTGGCCACCACCTGGCCAAGCAGCCTGGCGCGGCGCAGGGAGATTAGCACCCGGGAGGCGCGCGCGAGAGAAAGAGCGAGCAAGAGGGGGAATAAAAAAAAGGGAGAGGTGCGGAAGGAGAAGCGGGCCCCGGCCGGGGGGAGGCCCGGCGCGATCTAGTGCGCCACGCACAGGCGGTACAGGAAGGTGGTTTTCCCCGCGTTGTCCAAGCCGACGATCACCAGCTTGACCTCCTCCGGCACGCCGAGGAAGTACCAGACCAGCTTGGAGAAGACGAACCCCATGGCGGCCACGCGTGCGGGGCGAAGGGGGGGGGGGGGGGGGGGGGG